CTTTTTTTAGACACCCCCTCAAGAGGCAAACCCAGTTTTTAAGTAACAAATGTACTCTCCAATGACACTTGAGCAGTTCCAAATATTAAAAACATACCAATCCAAAATGTAATTACTGTGAGAATAAGGTGTCTTTGAAAATTATTATGTTGATTTAAAATGTTACAAAAAGGTCCAAAAGGCATGAAGCCCAGAAAAAGAGATTGGAAATCAAACTGCTGTTTGTTTGTTTGTTTGGCTGGTTGATTTCTGTATTTATTTTGTTTTGTTTTTTGGTATTTTTCCCAGGAAAGATGATACTCTAATTCTAAATGAAGGACTCGTGGTTTTAACTCTGATAGGTAAGAGTTGGAAGTCATCACTCCCATCCTTACAGGAAAAAGCAGGACAAACTAAAAATCAACTGCTTTTCTGGGACCCATCAGAGAACTGAGTCTGCAGGGAAACCTGCTACCCTGAAATCTGGAGAGACAGATGAATCCAGAAAGTCACGGCCGAGATCTGCTTTCTTGGAGCAGAAGACACTGGAGCCATGAACTGATAGGAACTCTTACATGGTAATGTTAGGGGAACCACTGACTGAAACCGCCCACCCTGGTCAGGCACCACAGTAACCACCTGCAGATGCAACAGGAGGTCCTGGTAAGGAACTCAGAACTAAGAAGCCACGACCAACCGGAAGAATTCAGGAAAGGTCAAAAGGAGAGAGGAGATATCAGTCCTACCAACCTCCCAGAATCCTTCTCGCTGGAATCCATCTCAGCTGAGTGAGGCACGCATCATCAGGAAGGACCCTGAGTCAGAGTGATTGGCCAGAGACAACCCAGAAACTAACCCCATTACCACTGGGCTTCCCTGGTGGCACAGTGTTTGAGAGTCCACCTGCCGATGCAGGGGACACGGGTTCGTGCCCCGGTCCGGGAAGATCCTACATGCCGCGGAGCGGCTGGGTCCGTAAGCCATGGCCGCTGAGCCTGTGCGTCAGGAGCCCGTGCTCCGCAACGGGAGAGGCCACAACAGTGAGAGGCCCGCGTATTTGTTCTCTTATTCTCTAGAGCATTCAGTCGATCTGAAACTAAAATACAGTTGACCCGGGCTTCCCTGGTGGTGCAGTGGTTAAGCCCCCCCCTGCCAATGCAGGGAGCACGGGTTCGAGTCCTGGTCCGGGAAGTTCCCACAAGCCGAGGAGCAGCGAGGTCCATGAGCCACAGCTACTGGGCCTGCTGAGCTCTAGAGCCCGCAAGCCACAACTACGGAAACCCGCGTGCCTAGAGCCCATGCTCCGCAACGAGAGAAGCCACCACAGTGAGAGGCCCGCGCACCCCAGCAAAGAGTGGCCCCTGCTCGCCACAACTGGAGAGAGCCTGCGCGCAGCAATGAAGGCCCACTGCAGCCAAAAATAAATTAATTTAATTAATTAATTAAAGAAAAAAGTAAAGGGATGGAGAAAGTTATACCACGTTAGCACTGATCAAAGGAAAGCTGGAGTAGCTATATTAATTTCAAACAAAGAAGATTTCAGAACAAAGAAAACTGTCGGTAATAAAGGAAGACACTTCAAAATGATAAAGCAGTCGGTTCTCCAAGAAATGTGTATGCACCTAAAAACAGAGTGTCAAAATACTTGAGGCCAAAACTGATAGAACTGAAAGGAGAAAAAGAAGAACCCACAATTATAGTAGGAGGTTTCAAAACCTTCTGTCAGTAACTGATAGATCTAGCATGCAGAAAATCAATAAGGATAGAGTTGACTTGAAAAGCACTATCAATCAACTTGATCTGATTGATATATTTTTTAAACATCTTTATAGGAGTATAATTGCTTTACAATGGTGTGTTAGTTTCTGCTGTATAACAAAGTGAATCAGCTATACATATACATATATCCCCATATCCCCTCCCTCTTGCTTCTCCCTCCCACCCTCCCTATCCCACCCCTCTAGGTGGTCACAAAGCGCCAAGCTGATCTCCCTGTGCTATGCGGCTGCTTCCCACTAGCTATCTGTTTTACATTTGGTAGTGTATATATGACCATGCCACTCTCTCACTTCATCCCAGCTTACCCTTCCCCCTCCCCGTGTCCTCAAGTCCGATCTGATTGATATTTATAGAATACTCCATCCAACAACAAAATACATATTCTTCTCAAGATCACCTGGAATGTTCAGCAAGATAGATCATAAAACACACCTTAACAACTTTAAAAGAAATCATAAAGTTTGAAATTCTAAATTAATAGTATTAGTTATTTGAGCATAAATAGCCCTAGAATAAAGAAAATCAATTTATCATCCTATCACATTTTAATGGACACAGTCCCTAAAGAATATCTATTTTTCTTTACTTATATTGTTTGCTCAACAATACACTTTCTGATATCCTCTGCCTGGCTAATACCTACTTATGCTTAATCCAAACTTAAAGATTTAAAACTTTAATATGGTACAATAAAAGCATAAACAAAGTTAATCATTAGAAAACAATTCACAGAAAATAATGAAATATTTATGACATAAAAGATTAATGTCCTTAATATATAAAGAGATTTTAAAATCAATATAAAAAGATGAGCACATTTATTCTTGACTCTTAATGCATTCTCTACACAATAGCCAGAGTAGTATCTTTAAAACTCAAATCTGGCCATGTCACTTCCCTATTTAAAGTCCTTCCATGGTTTGAATTGCTTAGAATAAAGTCCAAAGCCTGGCCCACATATCTGGTCCTTACCTCTCTAGACTTGTTTCCCATCATTTTTCTCCCTTCCCTTTCTGGACTCCAGCCAGACTGGCTTTTTTTTTTTCAGCTCCTGACCACCGTGAAACTTTTTCACATGCTGATCAATGTGCCTAGAGACACACCACCACTTCCTTCACCTGACAGAGGCCCACTCTTCCTCTAGATCTCAGCTTACACCTCATTTCTCAGGGACGTCTTCCATCATCAACTCCAGATCAGTTCAGATCGTCCATTATGTGCTCTTCATAAGCCTTGAGCAAACAGATGAAATCATGTTTATGAACCTTCAGCGCTCAGAACCAGACCCCAAGAAGTGGTGACCCTTCCCAGGAATGTAAAGTTCAGGGCTAAGTAGCTGTTGGCTTCTGGAACCTTCTTAACTACAGTAGTCATGGATGGTGAGGAAGCTCAGGGAAAAGTTATGATGAGAGTTTCCTTTAAGCTGTTGACCCTTAAATTTTTTTTTGAATAGACAACTTTGAAAACATAACGAAATCTATGAGACTTCTCTCCATAAAAATCCACATAAGCAAAACTTTTCATAACATTGTTCCATAAAACAATGTTTCACAGTTCACCTAAAGTCCATCTGTTCACCTCAGGTTAAGAGCCCAACCATAGGACTACTGAGAATCTCATACATACAAGCACAGTTTCCCTGGCTTTGTTCATTTAATTAATACTTATTAAGTATCTATAGTATAGAGATTCCAGTAATACTAACACCTGGTAAGTGAAAGTTGTTTTACAGTTTAAAAAGAAAGTAAGATGTTCACATAATTATCTCATTTACTCCTCACAAAAACCCAATGAGGTAGGCACACATAGCTCTACCTACTTTACAGATGAGAAAATGTTAGCAATCCCAGAGAACCTAAATGATTTGGTTAAAGCTACCCAGCCAGAAAAGGAATTGAAGCCCAGAAGTAAAATGCACCCTTTTAAACTTAGGCCTGGCCCTTTCCCTCCGTATTAATATTGACTCTAGAGGCCAGTGGTGATAGGACTTGTGTCTAATGAGGTAGCTGCCTGCTGAATGCCAAGGTCATCATATTAGGATAACCTCTGAGACCACAGTCTCAGTTCCCAGTTCCCATGGTGGTCATCTTCATGCTCACCTTTCCCGGTGATAACACAACTCTGCAAATTGGTGGTCCCAGCAGCAGGACTCTCCTGGTGTTTAGGGGAGGTAGACAGAGCTCCCATCCCCTTGCCCAGAGAGCACAATGGCTAACATTTTTTGAGTTCCTAATATACGTCAGGCACCGTACTAGGCTCTTTACATAAATAAACTCATTAAATCCTCAGAACAACACCATGGTGTAGGTACGATTATTATTTCCATTTTGTGGACATTTAGGGGAGGTTAAGTAACTTGCCCAAGGTTACACAACTTATAATTTTCAGAGTCATGATTTGAACTCTGGATCCTGTGCTCTTAACCAAACAACCCTTCTGCCTTTTCCAAGATAATTGTTCTTAACTTTGGGGGGACATATGCATCCTAGAGAGTGTAATTTAAGCTCCGGACCCTCCCTCTAGGAAAATGCAGTTAAGCAAGATTTTGAAAAATATTTCAGAAACGTCAGGGACCCCTCTGGGCCATCATCTGTCGACCTCATACATACTGGAGGGAACTGTCCAGAGATCAAAAGAGAAGTGGCTCCAGCGCCGCAGGGATTTGCCTCTGCAGCCGCGGGAGCGGCGTGGTGTGACGGGCATGCTCGGTCACTAAGAATCGGGAACGGTGAGCTCCCAGGACCTCAATACCCTGAGAACGCAGCTGGGTCGCTGAGGCTCCGGAATCCGGTAGCTGAATGAGATACGCACGGGCCACCGGCTAGATTGAAATCTTGCGTCCCTCCCAGCATCCTGGAGTCACGAGACAGGGGACTAGGACAGATCTCTGGTCCCAGGCGCGCAGGGACTGTATCGCTGTTCCTGGTGCTGAAACGCCGCGGTTGCGGAGGGCAGCAGCCGCCTGCTCTCAGGGTACCGCGCCGCAGCGGCTGCGGGAGCTGTCCAGTG